TTATTTACGGGTCCCCATTAGTCTCTGCTGAGGTAGACTACTCTTCCTGGGGCCCACTAAGACAACGGACAGTCACAGTTTGATACAAGTAAACAAGTGAAACAATTCAACTTGCTGATCTTAAAAAAAACAGAATTGGTTATAAAATAGCTACAATCAATTTTGTTGAAAAAAATAATCATAAGCGTGAACTTAAAATCAATATCAAATAAAATTGAGGCTTGARTGAATCATTACATACTGAGTCGTTTTTAATCTGCTCAGTTCAAGGCAAAGTAATTGCTCATCAGCCTTGTATGTTCATTCGAGTAATATGATATATGAATGTTTTGCTGTAGCTGAGCAACTGGCATCTGCAGCACAACAACATGTAATCTGTCATTAATGTTATTTCTGTGATGGGTCATAGGTTAGATAGAGGTTGTAAGGATGGCACCTTTAGATTTTCTTAACTGGAACTTGTTTTGAAATACAATTTTTGGAGCTCCTAAGCCATTTCTGTTGCTGAGCTTCAGAAAACACTCGTGTATTATGAAGACACACGTCGAATTCATCTCTGCTGCGTCACATCAGCCCTCTCTCCCAGCACCCTGTTATTTTGCCCTTGACTTCTCATTGTTGAAACGGCAGYGTATCATCGGAGCTGTGCCACGGASCCCTGTRGAGGGCTCTCTGTTCGCTCACCTCTGCCCCTGCCCCCTCTCTCCYGTGTAATCAGAGATTCTCTCAAATGTCAAGGTGAGACAAATGGGAGCCATTGCCTCCAGTAATGACCCTCAGATATGGACTGGAGGGATTCTCGTTCTCTCTCTCCTTCTTCTCTTTGAGAAAACATATGTGTTTTACCTTTTATCCCTGAATTTTAGACCAGTTTCCTGCTTCCTTTTGTTTTTGGGACACTTTGTTAATCGTATCTCAAAGTTTCAGGCAGTAGTGTGTGAAAATGTTTTGAGAAGAGTTTGTATAGCTAACATTGWCACTCAGCTCACAATCAGATTATCAGTCGTTTTTACATCACTGCTTTTATTGTATGAGAGGTTTTCCATGAAAGTTAGCCACAGAGTGAATTTTTTTCATTTGCAAAAAGCACTCATTCAGTATCGGAATATTTAGATATGCACATGAAGATGTGCAGTTAAATCAAATAATTGTACGTTGAGGAGGAGATTTTTTTTTACTTTCATTTCACCTGGCAAAACATTAAGAACAATTTCTTATTTGCAATGTTAGCCTGAAAGTGCCAAAACATTTTAAAAAGAATAAGATGGGGAAAGAACAACAAAATATACAGTGCATACAACGTATACACAGTGAGCAATGCATTCACTCTTTAAAACAGTTAAATGTGGGTATTACGACAAGACTGCAGGGAAAGCCAATTGACTTGAGAGTACAACAGACAGTGGTGAGTCTTATATGGAACATTRGTAACAAATCAAATGGTGAAATGGTAGATTGAGAATTGAGAAATTGCATTTTGGTGTAAGCAATGTTTTAATTACTTGCACAAAATCTCATAAAATTCACAAGATGTGTGACAGATGCAGACATTTAAGGTGCTCAGTGCTTTAATCCCTTTTTTATAGTGTTAAAAGATGTAGTTATTTGTTGTTTCTGTAGTCTTGKTTTGAGTTTTACCCTCGTTTTGTTCTTCAAACACTTTCTGAGCTCAGCAAAGACTTTCTTTACTGCCAAATGAAGTGAATATTGCCTTCTTTGAGCAAGAGTCAACTTCAGGATGCACTGAACCAAAAAGTGTATTTAACTTGTTCAGTCATTCGTAAAATGTAATTGTTTTTTTTTTTCCCTTTGCTTTTTTTAGAACTTAGTGGAAAGTGAGGGCTGACACTGATGGCTCTTAAAACACCAAGCAGAATGTCTACAAAACTCAGAGCATTTTTTTTAAAACACGTGTTTCTATTCTATTAATATGTGTATAGGTACACTACACAATTTCAGTTAGGAAAGAAATGTACAACTTTCCATTTTTGATATGAACAGAAAGCAGATCAGCTGAGCACAGTCCAGCATACCCTGAGGTCAGAGTGTAGTAGGTCTTCCATGAGAGGTGGGCATGGGCTGCTAAAGCAGCCTGCTAACAGTGGGAGCTTTTGTGGTCAATTTTAWTTCCCGTGATTGTTCTTACCCCCACACTCTCAGCCCACCCTTTCTTGATTTCTAAGCTGTGTGAGCCCACTCTGTGCTGATCCCCCCCTCAGGGGCAGAACTCACCCACTGTCACCATGCACTCATATTTCTGAATAAAGGATTRTTGTGCAGAAGCAGAGGGGATGCAATAATAGAGTCTAAACGTCCAAATTCATT